GCATGAGGTCCATCTGAGTGGACCTGAGCTTCCTCTAAAACAGTTTAGTCTGCGTGTGTGTGTGTGTGTGTGTGTGTGTGGGTGGGGGGGTGGGGTATGTTATGGTCAATAGTATATGAATATTAGAAGTAAGAGTCTCAACTGCAGCAGGGTAAAGCTTATTCCATGTGCTATCATGGCATTGAGTGTGTTACGGTGAAGCAGACACCACATGTCTCTGTGTGTTTACAGCTCTGTCAGACTTTGGTTACAAAAAATAAAGCACTGTGACCTTTTGCAAAAAGTTTACATGGAGTTAAAAATCTATCTGACTTTTGAAGGCAATACTGGTGGTTGACTTACAGCATCCTAGTCAAAACTGAATAGAAATAGAAAATATAATATATTTTAACATAAAACAACTTGCTGGGGAGTAAAAGAATGCAGGCAACTGCACATCAAAGTAAATGTGATGAGAAAACTGAGGAGGAGAAGAAAATCTGTTCCCATTACAATTAATTACAGCTCTAAGCTCAGATGCTTGTGTAGAACAGGGTTGGTAATTAAAGTACAGGTAAGACATTAACTTTACTGTTGTTAGCCATTAATCAGTGTTTGCATTAAGAGAATTCTCCCTTAGTAATTAATAATCAGCTTGGACAATGAATAATCACCAGAAAGGAAGGTGTGTGTGTGTGTGTGTGTGTGTGTGTGTGTGTGTGTGTGTGTGTGTGTGTGTGTGTGTGTGTGTGTGTGCGTGTGCATTGTAAGCAATGGGGTTTTCCCACCTTTGAAATAGTGAACTCACTGATCAAACAACCACCCACCCATCTAGCCAGACAACAAGGGGCTATAAACTAAGTGACAGAATTAACAAAATAGTTTTTTTGCTGAGGGCTTTGTGTGTGCTTTGTTCGTTTATTCATCAAAAGTCAGATCAGAATTAGAAGCCTTCCAAAACTAGAAGCAATTTTAAATAAAATGCAAATTATTCGGGAATCCATGCTTATTTGCCGATGTAAACAAACAAAACATTTAAATGATTTTGGCACAGTTACCTGCCAAAATAACAAAAGTAAGAAAGGGTTCCTGTTGACTAAAATTAAAAGATGAAAACAAAAATAAAGAAAAGTCAAATCTGCGGTCCCACAAGGACCTTTATACCCACTTGGAAAATTATAATAAGACGCACACCTATGATTTCATTTGAGAAGAACAGTCTTAAGTGACCAGAATGCAACAGAGAATTATGTTTTTACTATTAAGTAACAGAAGGCATCAAACTTCCAGACAAACAAAGAAAAACGATGACACGGGTTAACAAATAAGACCAGATTCTGAATTGTGGTCTAACTCTTAAAACTCTCCTTTTATATTTCATCTTTTTCTTTTTATATGCTAAACTGGAGTGTGGGTCTGAACGATCACATACTGATATGTGTAAACTCCACAACGTATTTTTGTCAGCCTTCTGCTGACTCCCAACAAACCCACACACGCAAAGAAAGCTTTTCCACCAGAGGATTAGTTCCTTTACTTGCATTTTTATTCTGTAACACTTATAGATACATGGTGCTGGTGGTGGGCCAATGGCCAATGCCAAAACAAAAAAGAAGAAGAAAAAGTAGACTTTTATGAAGTAATACATTCCTTTAATTTGATGCAAAAAACATGGCCAATTAAAATGAGAAGAAATACAAAAATTATTAAACAAATGAGCAAAATCAAAGATAACTTGTCACTTAGTACTGGAATGCATATAGGATTTACAAGATGCCTAACACTTTCTTTTCACTGGATGTGAAAGTGTCACAAAACGGCCACAAGGCATTTATCTGCCGTTATGATGGACGAGTTCCTTTCCGCCGGCAGCCAAGTGTGGCGTTTTGGAAGCAGCCCAAAAGCGAAAGGACGGTATCATTACGTTTTGAGTTTATCTTTAACACGCTACACATCCAAAACACATCAAACTCTGCAGTTTAGATCGAGTCAGACAGGAAGCCAAACACAAAATCAGTGTAAAACATCTGGAAACTTTCAAAATAAAAGTCAGGTGAAGTATGTGATTTCCTGTGAAACGTCTGTAACCGATGTAAACAGAACAGAAAATAAACCACAGCCCTTTTTGGAGACATGCAACTGTCTTTCTCCTTGCTCTTTTATCGTGTGGACTTATGAAATCCCACGTGGTGGGATCAGAATCGCTCCTGGCTGGGAGTGAGCTTGCAAGTAAAATGCCGCTATAACGTTACATGCCGCTTTTGCATATAGTGGAAAGAAGAGGTTACTCTCCTTCCTTCTTTACCAGCATTGCTCCAATGAGGATTTAATGCAGCAGAAAAACTATGTTACCACATCCTACAACTTCTGCTAAACATCTATCAACATAATGAAAACAATGACTGCATACACAAGGAGAGGACATGAAGAAACGAGGGCGTACACATATAAGGAAAGTCAGAAACAGTAAGGTTTAGGAAAATAAAACGGATGCAGAGGAAGCGATAAATAAAGAAATATGGAAATATTGAGATTCTTCCATTACTGTAAGACCATTCCACATACTACGATACTTAGCAAGCCTTCAGCAAATTTAGTGTGTCTGTCTGACCATATGCCACTGCCCACACCGGTCCCACAGTAGCCTGAGGCCCAGCTCTGCCTGGCTCCACATAAGAGCAGGGCTCCACATTGTGATGTGTCTCTGGATATGTGTGCATGTTGTGCACAAAAGCAAGGATTCACTGGTTTATTTTCTGTCTCTGAGAGCTTCCATCTTCAGTCTTCAATTACCAACACCTACACATCCACACGGACTAGAACCATAGCAACTGAGACAACAGCAGTCATGGTGGTATTTGTCCTGAGTGAAGTGCTGGGCTGTGATGCCCTGACAGTCTTCCCTCAACCCTCTCTCAACCTTGTCACCTCTGCTGCTCTGCTGTAACTCTCACCACAATGGCTGCTGCTTGTGAACCTGCCAGGCTGCCAAGGACACAAAGATGACCGAGTCAACCTTTGACATCAGAAACGGCCACCAAAAGACCACAGACAAGCTCAGTTGGCAGCTCTGTTAACAGGCTAGAGACCCGGGTCTTTTCAGCTCTGCTAAAGTAGCAGAAGTTAACATAACCCAAGTCAATAGTGCACACATATCTATGAGAAGCTGGGTCAAACTGCAGCCTGCTTGGGCAATGTTAGCCACGACCAAAGTTCCCAGAAGGTGACCTTGATGTTTTTGCCATTGCACAGCTGTCGTTTGACTGACAGCAGTCACTGAGAAGAAACGTGAGAAATAAAAAAAAAAGACATTTGAACATGAAATAAAGAAGAGGTTTAATACCGAAGGTGACATTTCAAGCCACCCACCCACACTGCTCCGTGTGGAACAAGACATTTTGCTGAGGGAGATGAGATAGGAATGTTGGAGATGTACTCTTGGACATGTGGAGCATGTGTAAGATGACCTATCCATTCACTGTGATGTCACTTAGGAGCTTTTAAGAGAATAAAATCACAAAGCAGAACCTCCCGAGTGATGATGAGAACAAGAGACAAGGATAGAAGTGTTCCAGTCTGTCTGCAGATATGTACAAATGATGCTTTAATACATAGAGGGATTTTGTCCCTCTTAAAGATATATTGTTGAGTGTTTAAGGCTCAACCCTTCTCTTTGTTTTTGCGTGTGTGCATGCCTGTTGTTCATCATACAACATTGCAGTAATCATCTGTTATCAAGAGTCACATTGAGGATTACAGCTTTCATCCTTAATCCCACATTGAGGACACATTCTCACGATGGACATGACATCATCAAGGCAAACGAACCACGGAGAGGGCACGAGGACTAGGAGCTAAGCACTGCAGGAAAAGATTAATGAATGTAGAAAATAGGGAGAACGATGAGCAAGAAAGAAAACGAATAAAACCAGAAATTCACTTAAACAGCAAGTTTCTGCAGCATCTGCCAAAAAAAAAAGGCTTTTTACTAGTTTAGATCAGTGGTTCCAGACGTGTGGTCCGCAATCCCTCAAGGGAGTCACAAGAGAAGGCAGGAGGTCCCCACAGTGTTGTCTAGGTTGAGGTTACCAATATTACGTTTGTAAACAAATCCCAATAACACCCTATGATATAAAACAAGGAGAATACGTACAAACACGGACAAAAACTAATGTTTTTGTTGCAATTAAATGTAATTAATCTCTTTTATTGTGACCACACAGATAGGAGTTGGGCTTTGGGGTCCTCAAGGACAAAATAACTGTTCTCAAAAGGCTTTTTAAAAATAGATTTATGTTTGATTACGATGCAGGGAGTAAGAATTATTCACCAATATTAACTTTTCATAGGTCATTGGTAACATTTTCATGTAACATCTGCGTTGCATTTGAGCAAATGTCTAGCACAAAAATCATATGTTTTGACTTTAAATGGGTTGTCTTCTACAGTTAGTCCATTATTTAACTGTCTTGAAACAGTTTGACCTTAAAGAAATATTCCAGCTCCAAGTGAAATTTTGTTAGGAGATGATGAGATGTTAAGGGGATGCCACAGCAGCCCTAAGATTCATTGTTTACTGTCAGTAGGTGAAATGTTGTAAATGTTACACAGTAAACCTGGAAGTGACCACGCCACAACGTCATGTCCTGGTTCCTCGCAGTGGCGTCGTTATGGTGTCCCAAGTCTGTAACTTATTATTTTCATTAGAAGTCAATGGGTCATTGGAGTCATCAATACAAATTTGAATCATTACTGAGTCACTTTATTGATTTTTCACAAGAAATACAACTTGTTACTGTTTACTTTCATTGTTTATTCTAAGCTAAAGCTAAAAGAATACTACCAGATCAGGAGAGTGACTGGGATGGTTACAAATAGTTTTCCCCCACTTATCGAACTCTGGGGAATATGGCAACAGACTACATTTGCTTTAAGGGTGGAATGTCCCTTAAACCAACAGTCATTGTATTGGGAAAACCCACATTTTGGAACACAATGCAAACACAAGAGTAGTTTATTACCTGCAGAAACTTTGGGGCAGTCTGGCAGCATAGAATCAAGAGGTGTGTCCAAGGGCTCCGGACTGGATACCCAGTTAGAGCAATACTAAATAAACAAAGAAAAGTAAAATTATGACAGGTAAAAGAAGCTCAAACCACATATTTCTAATTATATTAAGCTTCTGTAAAGCGTGCAAAAAAGCTGTGCAGTGTGACAAAAAATCTCCACTCATATCAGTCTTGAGAATGCAAACCAAATCTACAGTTCTAGAGGGGAATGCACATATATATGGAAATGTTGTGTCATATGTAATAAAACAAAAACAAAATAAATACATTAATTAAAAGAATGCAAGTCTAATAAGAAGACAGGTGGGATTGTTAGGGGGAGAGAAAGAACCCACAAGTATAGACGGTGGGGGAAGAGGAGACAGAGACAAGAACAAGCAATTAAAAGCTCTGTGACATGCTTCTACGACAGCTTGGCATTTGTTTGTGGTGAAGAGATGAGGCCTTCTACCACGGCTGATCAGTGGCTGCCCTCGGGGGAGGGTGCCTGCCCAGCTTGCTGACCCATAACCCCCCTGCAAACACCCTGACTCTCCTCAAACCCCTTGTGGTTGACGTCTCCACTGTCAGAAAGAGAGGAAGACCTCTTTATCTGTTTCTGCTGTCTTCATCCATCCTGTGTGGCGCTTTGTGGTCGTGCCACAGCGCAGCGGGGCATTTCAGATATTTAATGTTCAAACTTGATTCATCCGTAATGAAGTGTATCAGAGTCTTAGAACAGAGAAATCGTCCTTCTTCTCTGTATGAGTTTTCATTCACCGGCTCAGTAGATGACAACACATCAAACTGTGTTTGCCCTTTTGATTGCGCTGTGTAGACTGGTATGCCGTGGCTTGTAAGGTTGAAACAAAAACAAGAGAAAAGGGGGAAAGAGACAGGGAGGCTGAGAAGGAATGCTTAGAGAAGACGCTCCCTCAAGATAAGATAAAAGTTCAACAGAAGAAAGAAAAAATGTAGAGATTAGAACGTGCAGCTGGCGTCCTTCTGATTCACTGCTTATCTGCCCTTGTTTACTTTCACCCTGGCCCCCTGACAGCCATTAACGTGTTGTGTGTGCATGAAGGTTTGCGTGTGTGGGTCAGTGACTGCATTTCATGGGGTGGGTTGTTTTGGTGGTAGTGACGGTGGGGGTTCCCACAAAGGTATTTAGTGTTGTGAACCCATCAGACTCAAAAACACAGATGCACATTTTATCCTGCATCCTTTCTCTCTTATCAAATTTGACTCTCAGGGCTTAAAAGTGGACTTCTAGAAACGTTTGGCTAATCCCAAAGAACACACAAGGTCAGGTAGAAATTAAAAAAAAGTGCTGCTTTCAGATTAGATGCTGAATACCAGAACCTCCTTATGGACAAGCTGGGAAACAGGGTTCAAAACTTTTCGTCTACAGCCTGGTGATTTATTTTTTAGCAAGACTTAAAAATATCTAAGACGTGAGAAGATACACTTATCTTAAAATTATGCAAACATAAACAGAATGGTGATTATTAAATAAAAATGTTAAATTTACCAAGACTGGAAAACACCACAAAAATACAGCACATGACTGAGCGTTTGTTTCCGACGCATTGGAAACGCCAACGTGCCGAGAAGCGCCGCACTGTGCCAGATCGTCGGTTTCCGAAGCCGGTGGGAAAAAGCACATTTTACCAACATTTAACCTCTAACCTCTTGCTATTTAAGACGGTTAAGGTAACAATTTGTTTAAATCTTCGTTTGACCTGGGGTGTTGGAAATCAACGCCCTGGCACAGCGCATCGCCTCCTGACAGGTTGGAAACAAATGCTTGGTCACCCATTGTCAGTTTTAGCTGCTTCGGGTGTGAGAATGTGTTGAAAAACACTCCAGGGCAGAGAGCTTTACCCACAAAGTAATTCTGAACAACCGTAGACGTTATCTGCTGCTGCTTTGAGTGAAACCTGGTATTTTGTTTCAAAATGTGTGTGCAAAATCAAAAATAAAGTATATGTTTTTCTGTTACAGTACGCCATGTTTGTAAGGGAGGCAGTAAAGGGCTTTCCAAATAAATGAAAAAGAAAAATTAAGTAGAAATGTAACATGCAAAAGTGCATTTGTCCAGTGAGACAGGCAGACTGTAACAGTCTACTAGTTTCATTACGGCTAAAATTAGAAGAGAATCTTTCAAAGATTAAAATGACTGCTGGTAGCAATCGTTTATTACTATAATTTGTCATTTTTACTGATTTTAGTCCCTCAGGAACTGATTCAACTATGTAAAAAATGTTGCATGCACATCAAACAGTACTCACAATAAAAGGCCAATAGCAAATCTGCTAAACAACCTAGCATTTGTCACATTTGTCTAAAACCAGAGACGTAATGAGGGTCCTAAACTCATTACTCGCTTAGAAAAAAAGAACACAATTTGAAGTTGCGGAAAACCAAAGACGTTTGGACCTTGAAAACAGACTGACGTTTAGCACTCTCTTGTTTACTCTGGTAATGCGTTTTCCCATATCGGGGGCGTGGCTTAGGAATCATAGCTGACGGGGGAGGGGTGAGAGTTCTGTGAGTGTTTAAAAGCCATCTTGTTTTACGGATTTGCCATGGCTGCTTTAATATGACATCACCTGTCTGAAAGCTGAAGGTGGAAGTTGACTTTTCAACAAAAAAATTATTCTCGGTAAAAAAGGAAATACAATAAATAGAATATCACAAATTCTCATGTGACACTATACTAAAAAAATCTCTCCAACTATTCAATTTATTGGATGGCAATTGAGAATAAAAGGGCTGGCAAAAAGTAAAGTTAGGATAATTTATCACCCATTCCTATCCAATCAAAAGTAACTAAAACAAACTCCATTGCAAACTGAACCTATTGTTATAATATAAACAAAAACTCATTCCCTTTTATCCTTCGTGTTTCATGTCCTCGGCTCTGCAAATCCACAATACTAGCATTTGAAAGGGATTTATTTAAGCATTCGGAAGGAATGCATGTACGGAGAGCAAAAAGGTTGATGAAAGATCAGCACAGAGATGAGAAGGGGGCAGAGGGGAGGAGGCTGGGGGCTGTAGTATTGGGGGAAGATGAAAAGTCATCTTGGTAAACAGTGGCGGATTGTGTATTTTTAGATCTTTTTCTTTGCCCTAGATGCGCTCTCTGAGCTCGAGTTTGAGGACAGAGCTGCAGAGAGCAGCAGAGAAGCAGTGGGGCTCCTTGACTGCTACATCAAGTGTCTCATTGTATCTCCTTTAATTCATTCACTCTGTCTGGAGGAAGATGTCAGCTGGGCTGTGGAGCAGGGGGCTGAAGGCGGCTGGAGAGAGGGAAAGGAGGGGAGTCTTTCAAAGGGCCCTCCTCCCTCCCCTACCACTCCGCCATCACCACCAATGGAGAAAGGGAGGCTGAGGTTTGAATAGATTTGTCAAGGCAACAACACACATGTGCACACAAACTCTTGCATAAATGCACACACACTGCACAAAGCCCTAGAGCTGTGGGAGACCACAAGCATAACTGCATTCACATAAAGGCGAGGCCTGCTGGCTTGGATTAGAGAAGGGCGACATAGCAAACGGATGGCACATCACATCTGCTGCCTCTGATCCTCAGCATCATCACTTCAAACCAGCTCATCCATCGATCGATGGAGTCATTGAGCTGATCAACAACAGAGAACCAAATACATGAATAGATGTGACTTTCCTGTGCATTTGAGTCTTGTATCGCTCTGCTTAGTTACAAGTATGAATATGCATGCTCTAAAATTTATTACAGCAGGAGTTCTTATGATCCACACCACCCGAAGAAGCTGCCACTTAGCACTATACCGACAGTTTAAAGCTGCTATAACAAATTTGGAAAACAAATATTTTTTTCATGCCTCTTAACAATGTTCTAGCATAGTATACATTTACTGTGGAAATAAAAAAAACAGGGAAATAAAGTAAGTGGTTCTCTTTCATTTGTCTGACACCCACCAACAATAACACATCTCGGACCGAAAGCAACTATTTTGTTGTCGGTTTCACTGAACTGCCACACTTCCCTGGGTACTCCATTCATTACGCATTCGTGTATTTAGCAGCAGAACACCACTGGTGTGAGAGGTTCTAGGCTCAACAATATCAGAGGAGGAGAAACAGCCAGCGGCTATCACTTCAACTTTAGGACTAACTACCAGAGTCCCTAAATGAAAAACACCATTTGAAGTTACGGACAATAAAAGATGTTTGGACTTGGAATGGCGACGGGTGTTTAGGACTATCTTGTTTCTTCCGGCAACTCAGGTTTTTGGTTTTGGTGCACGTGGATCCAAGGAAGTGATCCGTGACTGTGTTTGCGTTCAAAACCTAGCTTGTTTGCAGATTTGCTAAAACAGCTTTTAGATCAAGGGGAATCTGAGTCTTTTTTGTTTTTAGAAGCAGGGTGACATTTTTGGCTCTACAAACAGGTTTCCCAAGGGGTTACTCTAACTTAAACAGATTTTTTATCTTCAATAAAAACAGGGAAAGAAATATTAGTTACATCTAATTTAACTATGTTCTAAAATATAATGTTTGTATGAATGTTAATTTGCCCTAAAGGGGTAAAACACTAGTGTTTCATGTCAATTTAGGAGGCAAGCTGGATACATTTACATCATATAGTAAAAATATCAGCTGCAAAGTAGGAACTGACAAAAACAAAATACTTAAGTGTACCACTTAGCAGTAGATTAATTTATCCACTTATGACGTCAAATGAATGGGACATTTAAAAGATAACAATAGAGGTAACACTAAAAAAAATCGAATTCACCTCCAAACAAGGTGTCAAGTTAACCAATATGCTAAGTGAGAGGGTTAAATGACAGTCGAGTCAACAACTTGACCAGAGAGGAAAAGTGATGTCCACTGCCTGCTGTATTATGCAGTTTAGAGCAGAAGTCAAACCACTTATTTTACATCACCAGAATAAACACACACATCCATCGTCAAACAACTGCATTGAATAGATGTGCCTTACACATAAAACCTAATTAAAAGTAAAATAAAATAAAGATAATAAATCACACTTGAACTTTAGGT